GAACGTACTGTCACAAAATGCAGCAATAAGTATTATTTTGCATATCACACAGTAGTTATCTTTTTAAAGATGTTCTCCTGCATTTTCTGTTTTGTTGACATTCTTTTTTTTTTATATGTTGGAATGGCGGAATGGTCCTTCCACCATTTTGTACGTGAGCAGTTTTGGTTGTTTTGAGCTACATTTTTTTGGGGGGGGTGCAATAAGGGAGTAATCCACCACATTTCATACAAATTATTCGTACATAATTTCAAGCAATTTTCTTAAACCTTCTCGTAGTTAATTAAAGGCATGTGCATGATAACCTTGTGATGGGTAGCCTGAAGAGAAGAGTACCATTACATCGTATTAAAACGTTCAAACACTGCACTTTTGAAGTGCACATGTTGGGGAGGTCTCTGTTTGGGTCACTCCTACGAGACCATAACCGTGGGGTATATGAATCTAAATGAATGGGAGGGAAAATAAATGTATTTGCCCAACTACTAGGTAGAGATTTGCTGCAGATAAAAGATGTCTGTGTCTGAAAAAGACAGGTTGAGTTTAAAGAATAACCCTTTTGTTGTGTATAATTCTGTGTTCCCTGTCCAAATCTTTTCATTTGGACAGCTGGAAGTATACCTTTAAATATTTTTTCTGCATTAGGTTCTGTTTTTTTGTTTTGTTTTGTTTTGTTTTTCTTGAAAACACTCATTGTATATCTTAACTGTAATTTTATAAAGTGTTACCATAGCAACGTTTAAAGAGGGGTGTACCGTTCATCTGTACAGCAGGACAGTTTTTCATGCAACATTTCTAACTGAATTGATAGAATTTACATTTCTATTGAAAGTATGTTTTGGATTTCAGATTGTTCTCTAGTTTCTGTTGTCTGGCTTTGTTTTATGATTGAATCCCATGGCCACCTAGGGTAATTTTTATTCATACTACACCATTGCATCTCAATTAAAACAAAAAGAATAGGTGCAATAAGTCACTAAACTGTTAGCAATGACAATAACTTAAACTGAAACCAGAAGTTTGCAAACAAATCCACATTTTCTCTCACTATCTGGAGTAAAGTCAAAGTAAGCTTTCCTTATATTAGATCAGTTAGAATTACCAAGCGTTATACCTGGTGAACACCACAACAATGAGAGACGGAATATGTCAGACATTTATTCATCAAAGTTTTCAAAATCTTAAGTTCACCTACAGAATGATTCGTCTCTCCTCAAGCGATGACAAAAAGACCAAATTATGATGTCATGGGTTTGGAAACTTCTGATACGTCAACTGACACATTTGAGTTAGTTGGGGTGATTAGTGATGATGTGCAAAGGTATGTAAACTTCTGAGTTCAATGAAAGTTACAAAAAAACAAAACGAAAAAATCTCTCAAAAATGTTCCTGGTAAGTTTTACGGCATTTATCAAATGGAAATAATCGAGGTAATTGCAACTGATCCAAAACAAGAGACGTTTGTTAGATTTAACTTCAGACATTGAGAAAAGAAAGCCGTGTGTGTCTTTTTATTAAGTGTAAGTAAACCTCTGGTATTTGAGCTTGCCTGTATGTCATAACAGCCTCAACTCTGCACTGACGGATTTGGCAAACAGGATCCTCCTCGAGTATTAAGGGACTGTTATGGCTTTGCACTGTTCTGAATGGGGGTAGTACACAGGATGAAGCTCAGTGGTGGGTTTGTCTTGGGCTTCAAGCCTGCATGCCGGAAGTGCAAAGTCGTGGCTTACTGCTATTCTGAATGGCCCCTGAGAGTCCAATGTGATGGACAGTCTGTGGCTGCACACACTGGCCCTTTGTATCAGGACTTCTTGGACTCTTTCTGTTTCTTTTTTTTTTTCTCCAGAGTTTCTCACACAATGTCACACACTTTCACACATATTTTTTTCTCACACAAGAATCTTTTTTTTTTTTTTTTTCTTCTTCTTCCCCTGGTATCCTTGTGATCTTGATGTGGCAAATCAAGCTTCTGCTTTGGGGCCAGACTTTGTCAGGGCAAACAGCAGCAAACTTGTAGGAGTTTCTTTCCGTTATGGTGGCTTTGAATTCTTCCTTTTTCTTGTTTTTGCTGCGTTCTGTGACAAAGACAAAAAGTCAGCCACTTGAAGGAACTGTAGGTCTGACCAGGAGTGTTGGTGACTGGGAAGCATGTGAAAGTCATCAGAGAGACCAACGTGATTTTCATTTTTGGCTATCCAATCAGAAGAAGCCAGCAGTTTCTCCTTGTAATTTCATGTTTTCGTGTTTAGTTGTGCATCCCTGAAATTGGAAAATGGAAAAAACAAAATTATATATTTATTTTTATTTTTTATTTTTATTTCTTGTGAGGATTAGCAGTCTGTCACTTATCCTGCTATTGAGAACTTCTTGTTTAGTATTAGCTGCTAAAGCTCTGCTTTTTTCTACTAAACTACAGTACAGTTCCTTACAAAAACTGCAGCTTTTGATCTACTTGCCACATTACAATCTTGGAAGTATTTTTGGGGGGATTTTATTTGACAGATTAGTACAAAACACTGCATAATTGGAATTGGGAAAGAAATGATGCATATGGAAATGGGAAGGAAAAAAAAAAAAGAATAATATTCGCCCATCAAATTCACATCAACTATTCTGTTTAACTTAATATGCAGAGTTAGTTTTCCAACACAAATATGATTTTGCATGGCCAGTGGAGTGTAATACTAATAGCTGTCAACAGCTTCCCTCGCCTCAGCTTAAGGACGTCTCGGCTGCCTCTCAGTGTATGTGTGCAGCCGTGTCTTTATCCCTCACCTGTCTGGTGATTTCCTTTGTTTTTAGTCTTTATAGACACTCATGTTTTAGCTCCTCTTGCATACAAATAGTACGTATAAACCCTGTGCTTTATCACTGATCCATTCACTAAATAGTCTTTTAAGATTTTATAATCCAACACCAATAACTTTTCATTTCAGTAAGATGATTAAATTAATGCAGTTTTACTTGTTTTTATATTTAAGTTCTGTTAACAATTCATGCCGTTTTAAATCGAAAATCTGGATTTCCTTTTCCAGTCTTCAATTATAATTATAGCCACAAAAACACATCAAAGCAGGCAGTCATGGTTATTTTCACACATGATGTCTCAGATTTGCCATAAGAACTAGAGCGGCTGCAAATAAAACCACTCGTATTCGTGTCTTCTGCCTTTTAGTTTAGCTATAAATTTAAACCCCGACCACATTCAGCACATATAACATTTGTGGACCTCGGGATGGTAAACGGTGCACAAAAAGCACTTTTACGGGTATGCAAGCAGCTATTTGCAGTGCTGAAAGGTCCAAACTGAGCTGACCTTAAGCTAATATCTGCTACTGGATTTGATGGTTCCATCTAAAGCAGGAGTAGCTTTTTCCTTTAAACCGTTATTTACTTTAGAGCTGGGCTCAATATCCCATGGCACTGGATGTTCCACCATCCATTGTCCCTGCCTGACATATTTGTCTGAGGAACATAGCCGACTGTTCGAGCTCGCAGCCCCACTGTGGGCACACTCATAAAGTTGTGGTTAGCATGTTGCCGTGGCAACTCCTTTGCACACATCATTGGAGAGAAATGTTTTTTATCTCTGTGCGCCACAAACTGCCCCAATAAGGCCTCCGACTCCGAAAGTGTTGGCCCAGCAGCAATTTATCTGTTTTAATTTTCTCCATCACACAAAAAAAAAATAGAAACACCGCCAAAAACTCAGGACGGTGACTTTGTGAGAGACAAAGAAAACACGTTGCTCAGAAAATATGTTGGTTTGTTGCAATGAAATTTTGTAGAACACAACCTAGCCTGCAATTTTCTTCATGTGGAGTAAAGATGTTGTTTACTTTTAGCTGCACTCAAGTTTTTGTAAGTCACTTTCAGCTTCTGGAATCAGAATGATAGCTTACTTATCGAGGCGTTTTAATGTACCCAGATCTTTTGGCACAGAGTCTTGATACTATACATAAATGCTTCAGCCAAACTACTCAAGCTTGTTTGAGGTTTCTTAAGCTACCGTAGTTTTAGTGCTGGAGAACTAAATGTCCAATATTGACAGAAAACATGTTCTGGTTTTCATTATCTTTTTTCCCCTTCACTTTTCAGTCGAGGTAAAGAAAAAGAGCTTCTGTCTGAGTTTTGCACAAAGCCATGCCGTGCTGCAGTTTTAAGTGATCGGCCTAAACCTAGAATCCCTCATATTTTGAACTGCTGTCTCTAAGCAAACAGCAATGTTGTTGATATAAAAACTAAAATAAACCATCAAGTTACTAAAAGAGTAAAAAAACAAAATAAAAAAAAAATGCAACCCTTTTTGTCTGGACCGGTCACTATCAGTAGCCCTTTTTTAGCTCTGTCTCATAATTTAATTCATAATGAATGTAAAACATTTTCTTGTTGCAGCTTTAAATATTCAATTTACATTGTGACATCAGGAACTGGCAGCGTAGCTGAAACGTAAAATGACCTAGTTCTCCCTCGACTCTCCTGTTTCCAGTCCGACACATGTGGATTTGATTTGAGCTGCTTGTTAGCTCGTGCCTACAGACAGAGAGCACTGTGGTAAATGGCTCCACCTCAGAAGGCATAACAACCCATTGGATGAGACAGGCCCATTTGGGTCACTTCACTCCCCTCATGTTCAGCTGCCATAGATTTTCTTTACAGCCTGGCAAAGGCAGACGACACCCACTGCTCTGACCTGCTGGACAGCCATTAGTGCCCTTTAAGAGTAGTGGTGAGTTGTCAGATGCAAACATGAAGGCGACGCGAGTTGTGAAACCTCGGGGGGCCACGCAGCAAGCTGCTTCCGTCAGACATTTGTAGACATGGCTGACGGAGTGCGCTTCCTCTCTTGACAAACTGTGGGTTTAAACAAATGAGCCTTTTATAGACATGACAGCCGATGTTGATCTCGCTTCACCTGACAGCCTTTTAAAAGCAAATTATATCAAATTGCAGTGTGAAATGTTTTTTTTTTTTCTCCTCTGTTTCATCTTGCGTAGGTTGCTTTGAGTGCTGCATCAAATGTTTAGGTGGCGTGCCGTATGCATCGCTGGTTGCCACGATCCTCTGCTTCTCCGGAGTGGCCCTGTTCTGCGGATGTGGCCATGTGGCTCTCACTGGCACTGTGACCATCCTGGAAACCTTCTTCTCCACAGTCAGAACCGACCATGCTATGCTCACTGACATGTAAGTCAGACAACTTCATGCTGTTGTCCATATAGGGCCTTAAAAAAAGAGTTTCTCATGTTGCATTTAGCAAAAGCTAAGGTATTTTATTGGGATTTTCTGTGATGGACCAACTCAAAGTGACATAAATTTGCAGATGACACACACAAACCACAGTCAAAGCTTCAAACATTTTATGAAGTACTGACCCGTACATCAGGTGGGAGTATTTTTTGGCTTAAACTTTACTTTCATGGAATGGTGGTAAGCAGAAAGCTTTGAAAAAAGGTAATGAGAAGTCCAGTTTATAAATTTCCTCAAGCCAAAGAAGGTATTATATATATAAATTTCCTTCATTCATAACTAGTAATGGTAGACAACAAATGTTGCGAAGTACCCTGAACACACACAACACAACCAGATAACAATCCAACATACTGGCAAAGCTGCAGTGGAATGGTTTAGATTACAGCCTATTCATTTGTTGGAATGGTCCAGTCAAAGGCCAGATTTGAATCTCCTACAAGAGTTGAAAGCCGCTGTTCACTGTCACTATATTATCATCATAAAATCCCAACAAAATATATCTAAATAGTTAGATAATTTCAGAATAAAAAATATGTAGCCGTGTGTTTGTGATGAAATGTAAAATAGTTCTGGGGTACTTATGAGTACTTATGTATTGCAGTTTCTAGTGAGAATTGATGCTTACCACTTTCTAAAAAAAAAAAAATGCACACAAAGAACATTGTAATATTTAGGAGCCCTCACCCTTACTGTAAAATAAACTTCTAGATAAGCATCTCAATAAAACAAAATCTTTTAACACAGATAACTGCTGTAATGTGAGCTTGAAGTGGGATATTTTTAGCTTTCATCACCTCCCACATTCACCTGATCCTAGAGAACAGTCCTAATAAGGATCGCTTTTAAAAGCACCCCCATCTGTCTGGACAATAAAAAAGGATGACATTGGACAGGGCTGCACATGTGTTTTATGTTGAGAGCTCTGTTTAATTTAAGATGTCCACAGTCTGTCTTTTGCCTGGAGGATTTCCAGAGACCTGCATCACCTGCCATCCCCACATTTGGACTCAAATCTCTCGTCACGTTTTGGTTAATCCCGACCATCTGTTCATGTTTTTTTTTTTGTTTGTTTTTTTTATCTATTTATTTATTTTTTAAACCCCAACTTTCTCATGTCTTAAAGATTGAATGGAAAATAAAAATGCTGCATGTGGCCATTTTTTCCCCCCCACGGTGAACAGTGGTGGGCCATGTTAGCGTTTTGTAGTCCACAGCTTCGTCACACGCGCGCTCGCACACCAGAGCCTCACTGTGACCTTGCTCTTTGACAGAATACAGCTGATGCAGTACGTCATCTACGGCATCGCTTCGTTTTTCTTCCTGTACGGGATCATTCTGCTCGCCGAGGGATTCTACACAACCAGCGCCGTCAAGGAACTGCACAGCGAGTTCAAGACCACCATCTGTGGACGCTGCATCAGTGGAATGGTATGTTAACACAGCTTCGGCGCTTTTATTTAAACAGGACATTTTTTGGAAAACAGTCGTTATAGGATGTGTAAAACTCTAGAGCGAGCTTATTTTATGAACTTTTTTACAGCTCCTTCCTGCTCTTTTTTTCTGCCTCTCTAGTTTGTGTTCCTCACGTACATCCTGGGTGTAGCCTGGCTCGGCGTGTTTGGCTTCTCAGCTGTACCCGTCTTCCTCTTCTACAACATCTGGGCTACCTGTAACACCATGAAGTCCCCGATGGCCAACATTACAAACTTGGACTCCTTTTGTGTGGATGTTCGTCAGTACGGTAAGAGAGCATCGCCTTGTCTTTATAAATTCAGTTTCAGCTCATTTTAGTTGAGAGCAAACGCGCATGTGGCGTCTAACCAAGAACCACAACAATCACTTGTATGAAGGGTTTGATAATTGTCTTTTGGGCTGGAAAGCTCTTCACACTTCTTATTTTTGGAATTTTTATTGTCTTTCTATACCCCATTTCAAAATGTGTTTTAACCTCACGCTTCATATTTTGTCTACCTTATCCATGCTTATTTTTCCAATATCCATCCATCTATCATGCCCCTGTACCCACCATGTTCCCAGATTGTATGTGATGCTACGTGTTTGCCTTATATATATCTTTGTTTTCTGTTTCATATATTTTATATTTACTTCAATTCTTTTGTGCAACACAACGTTCAACATTTTTTCTTTCCTAAATAACTCACGTTATAAATAAAGTTGAATTTAAGGTCCTGATTGTTAAGCTGAGATATTGCAGAGATTTTACGGGGGGTTTTTTACATGTTGTGTGGAACTTTCTGTAAAAAAAAAAAAAAAATGTGTGAAATTTGTGGACTGCCCCACTGATACGTTGAAATATTATTTTCTTGCACCTTCTACTCCAGTGATATTGTCCCAGTAGGCCTTAGTTTGACATCTGTAAGCCACATGTTTCAACCAGTGTTGACGCGTTGAGAACATTAACAGGAATCCTCTGAATCTTTTTGGCTGCAGGAATTATCCCGTGGAACGCCACACCAGGAAAAGCATGCGGATCTTCTCTTATTACCGTCTGCGACAGCAGCGAGGTACGATCCTGTTAACTTTGCACGCATAGTGATAAAGTAGAGGCTTAAAGCTCTGGATGGGACAAGAAAGGATGATTCCAAGGTTCTAATTTTGAAAAATTACTTTTTCAGTTCTACCTATCTTACCACCTGTATATCGTGGCATGCGCCGGTGCAGGAGCCACTGTGATCGCTTTGGTAAGCTGCCCTCTAGTTTCACAATCCTTCAGCTCATCTTTGCATGATTTTTTTTTGAGCAGATTATGAGTTGAGCTGTCCTTTTTTTTTTTCCATCGCTGTTCGGTTTGTGTAACCACACCAACAAGGGTTTGCCATTGGCTTCTTCACAGCTTCAACCCCCATTCACTGTTTACCATTTGCTTAGATGTACGTGGCTGTTTGTTTTTCAAGATGGACAGGAAGAATAACTTTGAGTTCCACAATTTAAAACATGTATTTAAAGTGTTAACGTTTTACTTTTAAGAAACTGAACACTATTAACCAGCAATAATATACACGTGCATCTCAATAAATTAGGAAATCATTACAGGTTATTTATTTCAGTAATATAGTTTAAAAAGTGAAACTCATAAGGATTTATTAGAGACATAGTGATATATTTGTTGTGTTTATTTCTGATCAGTTTGGTGATTGTAGCTCTGACTGTGAAGACAGTCAGAGACTGGCCCTCCAGTAGCTTAGGTTCAATAACTCTTTATTATTTCTCCAGAATCTGCAACAATTTTTTTTTTCATCTAAAAAGATAACTTTCTTCTTTTTTTTAAAATATTTAACCAGTGTAAGATGCTTCTGACAATATATTTGGTTCAGAAATGCAAAAAGTTGAAGCCTGGAGATGAGTGATTCCTGAAACACTGACTCCAGCTCTTTTCGTAGGCTTTGTGTAACAATCGCATTTTGAGAAAATGATTTGAATTAGCACAAATACACTTGAATCGATCGATAGCGCGCACAGATTTCACTCTTTTAATTGAACTGCTGCCATAAGTAAACTTTTTTTTTTGTCACATTCCTTATTTATCGAGATGCACCTGTGAGTGAGGACGTCATCAGCATGTGCTCTTACCGCCTTTTCTGTTCTCTTCCACCAGCTGATCTACATGATGGCTACCACTTATAACTTTGCTGTTTTGAAGTTTAAGAGTCGGGAAGACTGCTGCACTAAGTTTTAAGCTGGTTTAAGAGCCCGGCACCACACATGACTGTGCCATTTAGAGGCAGATACCACTGACAACAAGGAAACTAAAAAAAAAAAAAAAAAAAAAAACAAAAGGAAACAAAAACCTGAGAATAGAAAAGTTGACATCTCTCAATTAGTTATCACACAAACTGTAAATAGCTGATTATATGCTTCTTTTAGCATTTGGTATCCAGGGAGTTTTCTTGTCCTAATAAAGTTGCGCTCAGATTAGGAGCACTGCTGTCTGCCACAGTGCCAAGTTTTCCATGGCACTTTGCTTCTACAAATTTGTCACCATGAAAGTTTAAAGAAAAGCGTAAAGCTATTTAAATTTGAAACGTGTGCAACTGCTTGCGTCTTGTATAAAGGCCTTGTGTGCATGATTAATTCAGATCAGGAAAGCAAACACGATTTGCGGCATCCAGCAGCCCGCTTTTGCGAGAGCCAGTTAAATTCCATCAGGGTAAATTTGCAAATTTGTGCACAAATTCATAAGTCACACACCAGATATATTTGTAGAATATTTGTGCAGGTTTTAATGCTGTTTTATAAGGACTCGCACTGGCCTTAAGACCTTAATTGGAGGAACACTGCACCAGTCGTCTTGTGGCCTTGAAGCATCAAATCACAAAGACTATAAAAGTTAACCCCATTGTTGACATTTTAGCTTGCCAGATTAGCAGTTCTGGTGTGTTTTCTGCAGCTACGTCTGCAAGAAGACGCGAGTCATTGGCAAAGTAGCTTTACCCTCATTTTTTGTCCCTTTTTCTGTTTATTTTTTAATTCATTTGGACTTTTTGTGCCAATCAATCACAGGAAACCTTCAGTATTATATTTTTTTTCTCACAAAATGAATCCTAAACTTTCATCCACTGTGTTATGCTGATGAGTATTATTACGTTGATCTGTTGTGCATTGTAGATTTCAAAGTAACAACTCCTCCCTCAAAGTAGCTTAGGCCAGTACAAGTGGTATACTTCTGGATGAGGTCCTAAAGCCTCATTGTCTAAGATGTAAGAATAATTTCTGTTTTAGAGTAGCAAAATGTATCCTGTTTCCTACGACAGCTGATCCTCAGCTTGGAAAGATTTTTTTTTTTTTTTTTCCTTCCTCAAAGTGCCATTTAAAGAGACATTTTGTTGATTTTAACACAGTGCCTGCATGCTTACAATTTTCAGATTCGTTGATCTGCTTATAATTACTTATACTTCATATTTCATATATTTAATTTTCTTTAAGTTTTACAAGACTGTAGCTTTTACTTTCTACATAAATAAACAATCTTTGTTTACAAAAGTATCCCTACTTGGTCTTTTTTATTCTGAAGCTCATAGTCGTCGTATGCAGTGGCTTGCAAAGGTGCTCATGTCTCTTGAACTTTATGGGAATTTCGTTACATAACATTGACAAACTTTATCATAATTGTTGGGATTTAATGAGGCAGACAGACCAACCAACACGTGATAATGCATAATGTTGAACAGAAAGGTATAGTTTGTATTTCAGTAGCTTCTCTAATATTACCATGGCCCTCTAGGTTGCTTCTCTGACTAATTCTCTCCTTGCATCGCCTCTCAGCTTAGGTCTCCGTAGGGTTGTTGGACTGGTGCCATTTTCTATTTCTGAACAAATGACTAAACAGTGACCCATTGGGATGTCAGTCCAAGCTAGTCTAGTGTGATCGAATACTCGACAAAGCATAATAAAATACATAGAATATGCAGTTGTAATAACAAAATGTGATCGAGCTCAAGAGATATTAGTACTCATGCAAAGTGTTGTAAACCATGAAACGGAGCTCAGTCAGGTTTACAGGAACCAGGATCTCATGCTTTGCACTAACCCCCAGCTTTTAACGACTGCACCACTCTTCACTTGTTTTCTAGCATTCATTTTTCCTAGCATGAAAGTGCAACTTCTGTAGTGCTCTACATAGCAAAAGTAGAACCGTCTACAGTAGCTGTAATTGTAGCAAATTTATCGTAGACAGTCTTTTGCCATGTTTTATTCTCTAAAAGTGTAACTTTTGTGTTTTGTTTGCAATACCATAGCTCTTGTTTCCTGTAGCTCGCTTTGCATCTCTGACATGCTCACCGGCCATCCACCTCACCCTTCTCTTGCAGATCCACTACCTCATGATTCTCTCAGCAAACTGGGCCTACCTTAAGGATGCCAGTCAAATGCATGCCTACCAAGACATCAAAATGAAGGAGGAACGGGAGCTGCAGGACATCACCTCGCGCTCCAAGGAATGCCTCAATTCCTACACATAAGGATGTCGCACGCTTACAGGAAACAAAGCAAAACAAACAACCAAAAAAAAGAAAAAAAAAAAAAAAAGAAAAATGCATCCACGCAGATACGCTTACGAACACTATGGCCAAACGCTACAGGCCCTCTTTCTGGACCAACACTCTGCTAGTATGACCTGCCAACTTTGTGCAGTACTAACCTGGCTCCTAACAAACTAATCCATAAGAGCTGCTTTCTGCACTAACTCACCAAGAAGTGTTTCAGGAGTGCTACATCTTTTCATTTTCTGTGTTTTGTAGGGGAATGCAGTGTAGTTCTGACATTCATGCTGTTGATTGTGAAGCTTTCTAGCCCTTTCTGTAACCAGTCTCTGCTGGTGAATGTTAAGACGTTGCACTATTCTCACACGGCGAATAACAGTTTGTTTTTACTGTTTGTTATGCTCCTTCTTTTGACCCTTTGTTGCAAAGTTTCAGTTTGATGACATGTTCTTTTGTCGGATTTCAAATAAAAAAACAAAAAGATGCTGATGATTTGTACACGATGAGGAGGGCCTTATGTCCAATTTCAGTAAGTGTTTTCAAACTCTAGTTATTTTTACGTTGCCGAAATTGTAGCATTAAGGAGGCAGTTGTACAAGCTCTGTAATGGGGCTCACAAAATGAATGCAAGCAAATTTCGCTGGGTAACCATCTTGGTTGCCAATCATTTAAGTGAGAGTTAGTTTGGATTGTAGTTCCATTAGCATGTTCAGAACAACCATCGCCTACATTAACACTACCTCAGGTGTGCACAAGAACTCGTAGACAACATTAAAAATGTAATTTTGATCGGAAATGGGATGTATTTGGAGCAACATAACCATTCACTCAACCTGATTAAATCCTCTGCTTCATGGTGTTACAATTATTTCTTGCACTTAGTACATAAATGGTGCAAAGTATCTGAATACGTATAACATCTATGAACTTTGGTTCATTTGAATTAAATTTAATGAAAAAACCTGTTTCCAGGTTTTTTTGTTTTTTTTTTCAAAACAATCTGTGATTGCTAAGATCTTCCTCTGTAAATAGTTGTGTATTGTACATCAGTACAAAACACGTTTACTGATTTCTGCTTAAGCTCCTGTAACATAAATAAAACTGTCCCACATTAACACTGCATTTGAAAGCAGCCAGAGTTTCAGTTTTAAGCGATGTAAATATGCTACGATTCACTTTTTTGGTGTCAAGATTTTAAAAACTGAAACGTCGTATTGATGATTTTCTTAAATTGCATTTCTTTTAAATGTGCAATTTTTTGATATAATTACTCATGTAATCTTTTTTTTTTTTTTCTTTTAGTGAAGTTACAGGGATTATTTGATGTCCTGTTGCATGAAAACCATTGTTTCTGCAGAGACACGTGTGATGTACAGTTAGGTATGCTGACATCAGTAGTAGGCAGTGTTTGCCCTTTTTAACTGAATTAATGTTACTTCCTTTTACATAGCTAACCTAGTTATCAATATATTTAGATTACTGTCTTTTTTTTTTATTTTTTGCATGCTAGTACAGATATTTTCTACAAATGTCAAGGGCTTCCTTAAGATTTCCTAAAATAAAATAATTCAGTAAAAGAAAATAAATAAAAAGTAAATATAGCCAAAGTGTTCAAGCCAATGCTGTCCAATGTGTAAAACAGTATCCTGTGAAATTAAACTATTTGTTTCATGGTAACTAGAAAGCTGTACAGCGGCAAAGAGGAGAAATGTGTCGCATGCAACGCCTTGCGAAATAATTTATACCACTTAAACTTTACTACATATTGTGATGTAAAACCCACAAACCTCATTGTATGTTATTTATATAGAATACGACCAACACATAACAATGACTTTCTTCTTGCCACTTTTCCATAAAGGCCAGATTTGTAAAGTACACAGCTAATCATTATCCTGCCAACAGATTTCTCCACCTAAGCTGTGGCTCTCTGCAGCTCCTCCACAGGTACCATGGGCTTCCTGTCTCATTTCTGAATACCACTCTGCTTGCCCGTCCTGTCAACACATATGGAGGGCCATGTCTTGGTATAATGCAGAGAATAATCAACCTACTTCTTCCATTTCATGGCAAACCATTACTTTGTTGGTCTGTCATATAAAATCTCAATGAAAGACAAAGTTTGTAGTTGCAACAGGGCCAAATGTGGAAAGGTCGAAGAGGTGTGGATTCTTTTGCAAGGCTTACTAGTACATCACAGTAATGTACATGACCTTTGATTGTTTGTGTTCCATACTGAATGAACCAAAAAAAAAAAACAGAAAATGTTTATGAATCACCAGGAGGGCATCAATCAATCAACTAATCAATGAGCACCATGTCTGACTGGAAATACAGCTCAACTGGCCTGATGACTGTTTTTTATGAAAATAAAGAAAACAAAGTTATGTGTGTTGTAAAGTGTTTTTGTTTTGTTTTTTTATTGCAGCAGTTTGCAAAAGTTGCATATTTCACATTTTTAATAAGTGCAAATGGGTCTAAAAACTAAAATATCAAAATGTAGGTTAAAAAGGTGACGAGGTTGAAACTCTTTACAGAACTCCGACTCGGCTCACCAGAACTCGTCTTCTTCATCCTTAAGCGAGAACGCTGCAATGCTGAGGAAAACAAACCGAGTTAATAACTGAAGCCCTCAAGGGACAGAGAAAAGCATAGCTCATCAGAGGAAGATATTTTTAAATGAACTTGAAGTAATTCCAGCGCTAATAACATTACTGACATATCAGGAGATGGGAAACCACAAAAGCAATGAATTATTGGGATTACATCGCGTGGTCTTGCTCTTGTATTAAAGGTTCCTGAAGTAACGTCATACCTTTTGAATTATTTTATATGCGGTATAGTAATACGTCTACAAATCAACACGGCGGCTTTATTTGTGTTACCTTTCATCTTTTTCCTCAAATAAACTCTTGTCCTCTGGGCTCATCTGTCTTTCTTCGTCTCTTACAGGCTTCTAGAAATGCACAAAAAAAAAGCCAAATGTGAGGTTAAGTAAAACATACAAGTTAACTCGTAGATTGAACTGACCTGCTCATTTTGCTTCTCTCTTGCTTCCAGAACCATCTTCATGTATTTCTCCAGTGGATTTTCTACTTTCGGCTCTTCCCTGCTCTGCTCGTCGTCTTCTCCTTTCTTAACGTCAGCTGCTTCTTCTTCTGTTTCTTCTCCTTCCTTTCCCAGTTGCACCGCCTCTTCCAAAAGCTGGTTAGACAGAGAAGCGGTCACTGCTGATTTCAGATCAACGTCTTTTAAGCATCGCCGCCCTGGATTCACCGTTACCGTCTCCTTCTCCAGACGTTCCAATTCCTGCCGCTCTCGCTCCTTCGTTTCTTCTAGCTCCCTCTGCCTTCGCTCTTGCTTCTCTTTCCGCTCTCTTTCCCACCTCTGCTCCTCGTCTTCCTCTTCCTCTTTGACAGAGTCACCTGAGGTCTCTTGGACTTCTAGAGAAAAGCGGAGAGACATAAATTCAAGATGCGGGAAAATGAGCAAAACGTGGCAGACTGGTAGCAGTAAGAATGATGGCCTTCAACATAAATATAAAATGCATATCGTCCTGGGTCAACCGAGATCAAGGGTCATTACTGGACGGGTTGACTCACCAGGCTGGCTGTGCGAGTCTGCTGGGTCTTCTGGGAGGTCCTGGGGCTGGGGGGTGGCGGGCCCTTCGGGGGCCTCCTCTGAGAGAGGGACAGCAGTGTCCATGAGAAGCTCTGGAATGTGGCCGGGCTCTGGAGGGAGACGCAGCACAAAGGGATCTTTTATGCTCCACCATAATGCAACAGAGCCAGAGAACCGGCACAGAATACATAATCAGCTGTCCTTCATCTTCACCATTGTGAGGGGCTGCTGAAAGGACATGCTGGGGGCCAAATTCATAGCCATTAAAAAACAGGAAAATACAAAAAAAACAAAACAAAAACAGTCTGAACCATCAAAATTGTACATGACACCTGCTGCAAATAACACGGCAGCAGATCATTTGGAAATTTCAGCGGAAACA